GCCAAAAATTTAACAGGTGTAGCGTTACTCAAAAGTCCAAGCCCAGAGTTTCTCTGAAACTCAAGGCAAACTCTTAGCTGTGTGCCCCTACAAAATAAAAAAGTTAAATGCTTCCAACATACAATGGCACAGAGTAAAAGAGGGGTCTAGGGTAATAGAAAGGAATTGGACCAGAGCAAGACCAAAACCCAGCATAACAAACATTACATCCTGCAGCTCCACAGCCAGCACTCAGGGAGGTTGTAGTGCAATGGGCACACCAAAGGGTAGAAAGCCCCACCCCTATGGCTTGCGGGCTGCACACTTGAGCTCCCTCAGGTTGGATCTCCTCAGCACCTGTGGCTTTCCTGAGCAGACAGTTCATGTTCCCGGCACCTCTAATGTTCTGGAGTCTCAGTGGCAGCCTTTTGTCTTTTCTTCATAGTTTCACATATTGCCCTCTTGAGGGCACGTAGTCTGGCCTCCCAGACCTTCTTTTGAAATTTGGGTGGAAGCCTCTAGGACCCCTCAACTCTTACATTCTGCATGCCTGAAAAACCAAAAAACATGTTCAGGCAGCTGTTCTGCCTGAACAGCTCCATCAGCCTGAACAATAGCTGGACCCTCTTGGATCATGGCTGCAACAGCCTCTGGAGCACCTGATGGCTGAAATGAAGGAAATACTTCTCTCTAGGTAGCCATGAGTGAGCAGGTGGCCCTGGGGCTCATTTCTCAAAGCAAAATCTTTTCAAAGACTTTACCCTTTTACATCCTGAGCCTGTGATAGGTGGGGCCTGGCTAGCTCCAGAGATGTCCTCAAGGCATCCTTTTTATTGTCTCAGGGTACAGTACTTGATTTCTTTTCAATGTTGCTAATCTTTTCTCTTTGGCTCCAACTTTACACATCTTTCTTTTCTTCAAAACTGTAATATGTTCAAATCTTTGCTCCTGATTTTCACTATAGACCTAGCTAAAAGCAGCTAGGACTATCCATGTCACAACCTGAATGTTGAGCTGCCTTGAAATTTCCTTTGCAAAATTAATTAGTTTCCCACCTTTATTTTATTTTATTTTATTTTTATTTTTTTGGCTACTGGATATTGAACTCAAGACCTTGTGTTTGCCAGGCAGGCACTGTGCCACTGAGCTATATTGGCCTTGGCCCAGTCTCCTATCTTTAAATTCAATATCACACAATGTTTTAGGACATGGACAAAATATACCCAAATTCTTTGTTGTAATGTAATACAAATCTCTAGTCCAACTTCTAATAGAGTCTGTGTTCCAATCTGAACCTTCTCCATTTGGTCTTTCCTGTCCACACTTCTACCACCATTTTGTTCTTTTAAGCTCCCACTGGAACTGTCAATCAAGCTCTGCTTACAGCGTTCTAGCACTTCTCTGACCCACATCTTCAGACCTTTCCAAACTCCTCCCATAAACCAGGTCCAAAGGCCGCTGAACCGCATGCTCAGGTACAGTCATAACAATGACCATTTCTCTCTCTTTTTCTTTTTTAGATAGTGCCACAATTTTACGGGGTTTGAACTCACTGTGTAGCCCAGGATGATCTTATACTTGCAGCAAATTCTTCTGCCTCAGCCTCCTGAGAGCTGGGATTATAGGCTGTAATCCCACCATGTCTGGCTAACAACCCCACTCTTGATAGCAATTGTCTATTTTGGTCCTTGTTGTGGTTTAGATCTAAAATGTCCCCCAAACGCCTCGTGTGTTTGGAGGTGGGGCCTAACCAGAAGAGGTAGATCACTGGAACATGACTTGGAAGGTTGTATTTTTGTCCCTGGCTCTTCTGTTTCTTGGCTGCCATTGGCTGAACAGTTTTTCCCAGCCACACCCTTCCACCATGCCAATTCTGCCTTTGAGCCAGCCAATCACAGACTGAACCCACTGAAAATTGTGAGCTAAAAAATTTCTCTTCCTTTAAATTACAGGTGTTGAGTATTCTGTCCAAGTGACAAGATGCCCAGCACCCAAAACTGAAGGACAGTTTTATTTTGGCCACAGTTTCAGGGAGGTCCTGTGCTGCTGAGCTGCATCCCCGGCCCTTTCAGCTACTGTTTCAGAGGTTTAGTGCACAATAGGCTGACTCCAGGCAGAAATGGCATGGGGAAAGGTGTGGAGGAGGAAAGCTGCTCGCGCATGGCAGCCAGAGAGCAGGGGTAGAAGGAGGACCAGAGAGAGGGGTGAGAATACACCCTGGGGGGCAAGATCGCACCTTTCCAGATCACACCCCCAATAACCCACCGCATCTAACCGGGCCCCACCTCCTAAAAGCACACTTAGCTGTGAACTCATCCAGGAATTACTCCACTAACAAGTCCAGTGCCCTTGTGAACCGATCAGCTTCCAAATGGCCCACCTCTGAACACATGAGACTTTAGATCTGAAATAAAACAAGGCCTTTGGGAGGTGACTTGGGTGGAGCCATCATGAACAGGAGTGATACCCTGATGAGAGCTCAGAGAGGCCACACCCCGCTTTGCATCCCATGGGAAAACCAGGAGTGCACAATCAGAGGAGAGCCCTCAACAGAACCTAACCACAGGGCACCTTGACCTCCAGTTCCACCCTCCACAACTGAGAGACATGCACTGCTATTGTTTTTAAATTGCTTGACCTATGGGACTGTGTCACAGACGCCCAAGTGGGCCAAGACAAGATGAACTAGGTGAAGGTCTCTCCATCCAGGGAAAGCCACTGAAGCAGGTTTCCAAGGCTCAGAGGGGTTGGTCATATCCTATTTCTTAGATTGGACATTGGGAACATGAGTGCTCACTTCCTTATATTTTAAAGGATGTATGTGTGACATATACTCATTTCCATGCATGACAAAGTTGACATTAGATAGTGCAGACTCACCTGTGTGCATACACCTGCACAGGTCTGCACCCGGGTGTCTCCAGCCTTGTTCTGGGGGTTCCACCAGCCTTTGCAGCTGGGACTCAGCCTCCTGCTGCCTGAAGGATCATTCAAGTGCTGCTCATGCCCACTGAGGTTACAGCCCACAAGGTGCTTATGTTCTAAATCTTTTCCCTCGGGTTTCCAACACTCAGGGAAGAGGTGGTAGAGGTACAGCGGTGAGCACAGCTGCCTTCCGAAAGCAGGGGAAAAATCAGAATGAATCCTTTACACTCTTCTTGGGAAGCCAAGGTGAGTAGCACATGCAGTAGGCAGTAAAGGTCATGAACAAGAACTGGGTCCCACCCGGGAGAGAAACACTTTTTCTCACGCAGGTGTGAATCTTCCCCAGATCCAAGCCAATGTGTATTTGGATGCTGATCAAGATGTGCTATGTGGATCAGAAAGTTTTCAAAATGAACACCCTGTTTGAAGAACCTGTGTGTTATTTTTTAAGGTTATAAAACACCAGGACACGCCTGCTCCAGAATCCAAGTCTCCTGGACAGGAGCCGACATTCTGCTGACCTCTGTCCTGCACTTAGCACCATGAGAAAGAACTAATGCGCAGTGGAACATCAAAAGGCAACGACAGGACTGCAAGGCTGCTGCCTCAGACTCTGAACCCACAGAGTGCCAGGAGGAAGTGGCCTCCACCCACCAGAGGTGCTCTGGCTTTTTCTTTCCCAAACCCTTAGGCTTTTTCCCTAGCCCCCAGCTGCTCAGTGCTGGCCATGCCTCTGGCTTCTCTAGGATCTCTGGACACAGGCCAGGGGTGGTGAGAGAGGACCTCAGGTCAGCCTGGGTGTGGGCTTTCCTTTCTCCTTTCGCAGTTTCCAAATTATCTTCAGTGAATGTATTATTTCTTTACAATTAAAGAAAGATGCCAGGTGTGGTGGCACATGCCTGTAATCCCAGCACTTGGGATGCTGAGGCAGGAGGATCGCCATGAGTTCAAGGCCAGCCTGGACTACATAGGGAGACCCTACCACAAAAAGAAAAGTTAGAGAGAAATATTGCTTGCTTTTTATCATTGAAGTTATTCATCAAGAAAAATGCATGTGCTAAAAAGTGCATCAAGTAAATGTACAGCACTGTGAATTTCCAAAAACTAAGGCCATCGGCATGACCAGACCAGATGAAGAAATACAACGTGCCTGTTCCCCAGAAACCTTGGTACCCTCCATGTCACTGCCGAGAGAGTAATCACCACCCTGACTTCTAACACCAAGGGTTGCTGCTGCCAGGCATCATGTAATGGAATGATTCAGATCTCTCTGTCTCTCTGTCTGTCTTTGTCTTTCCTTTTCCAGTGCTTTATTTTTGACATAGGCTTAATTGTTAAACTTGTGGTAAGTTTCATACACCCTATTTTAACTCTTTGATTGTTGATAATTTCATGGCATTCAGTACAGTCACTAGCTGGCCAGTCATTTCCTCTATCTAGTCCAGAACATTTTAATCCCCCCAAGAGAGGACCCGTATCTGTCTAGCTGGTGTGTGTCCTTAGCCACATCTAAGATGGAAATCAAGCATGTGTTAGTTCAGTTGTGGCTAACGCTAAAGCGCAGGTTCAGGTGCCTGCTTGCCATCTGTGAGGCAAGTCTGCGAGGACGGTCACCACTGTCATTCTCTTCTTCAGACTCCTCTAAGGGGGGTACCCCGTGGAGGCTACCAATCATCTGAGGATTCTTTCGCTCACTTTGTATAGAAATCATGAACAGGGCTGGGGAGATAGCTGGGCGGCACAGTGCCTGCCTGGCAAGTGCGAGGTCCTGGGTTTGATTCCCGGGACCAAAGAAAGAAATCATGGATAGGCAAAGTGTAGCTGTTTTAGTATTAAGATCCTGGAGTTCTGAGTGCCAGCAGCTATCAACTCTTTGTGCTAGCAGTTCTCCTAGTTGCTTGGAACCATCAGCTGCCAGCAGGTCTCAGAAGCTCTCCTGGCCTCTGCTGGTCTCCACCATTCTCTGGCTGCTGGCCTCCCTTAGCATTGCCAACTCCGGCTGCCGTGTGCTTACAGTGCCAGCAGCCTTTGGTGTTACCAGCTCTGAGTGTGCCAGCTGGGCATGCACTACTCAAGATAGAAGTCATAAATGGGCAAAAACATGCCACCCAAACGAGGCTTTATTCAGACTTCTGCTGTGGCATAGAGGGCAGTGGTGGTGAAGCACGGCACGCATGCCACAGTAGGCTACGTATACCATTGATAGCGTTAAAGGGTTCCAGCACTGATGTAGGGGAATAGTGCCCAGACTAACCACTAAGGATATGGGGAAAGTTGTTCATACAGAAGAAAAAGGTGGGCTTGCACATATGCAGGCTCAGACTTTCTGTTTAGTCACGGGGAGAGAGGGCTTCCTGGTAGATTGGAGCTTGCTGCAACCAAAGCAAATGTCTCCTGGGGTGGTCATGGGGTGCTCAGCGTAGCTGTGGCCGGCTGCAAGGCAGAAGAAGAAAGATACCTCAGGTACCCGCTGGGGAGCGCCAGGCCCTTCTCTGCCATCTCATGTCCATTAATAATCACTCCCCACCCCACTTCTCCAGCCATCAACCACTGAGCTGCCTCTGTACCTGGACCGCAGCCATCTGCTGTGTGGGCTCCTGAGTGGGGGTGTGCCCAGGTGTGGCCCGGCCAACAGGGAACGTCCTCTCTCTGCGAGAGGCAATGCCGGGTAAGGTGGGAGGGGTGGGTGCCCCCAGCAGGGGCTGATTTGCTGGGCACAGCCTGGGTGACATGGAGCAGGGAGCCTTCCACATGCTGGCCGACACAAAGGGAAAGCAGCAGCCTGGGGCTTCCTAAAGTCAAGGACTTTTGAGACACAAAGTGGACATTGGCATCCTAAAGTCCAGGCTTCACATTGCAGCGCTGACCTCCGTGGGACCCTGGGATGGGACATAAGCCTTGGGTGGGCTGCTGAGGACAGCTGCCCAAGAGCCATCGAGATGGCAGCCTGGCCGCTGTCCATCCCCCTGCGGCCCCCAGGATGTGTCCTCTGGCCGGAGGAACGCGAGGCTCCCTCGTGTGAAGGTGAACCTGGACCCGAGGCGTCAGGGTGGCAGTGGGGACGGGGCCTGCCCGAAGGCCAGCTGTTCACTCAGTCTTGAGGAGTTGAACGCTCTTTCCTACCAGGGAGCAGAAGGGGCAGAAGAGATGTGGGTGGGCGCCCAGCACCCCTTCCCTGGTGATTCTCGTGGGAATGGAAACGTGGACCAAGACGCAGCTCCGGCTTCACTGCAGTTCCTTCTGCATAACAAAGTACATCTTCCAGGGAGCTGGAGGTGAGAGAAGGATTTCTCTGCTGAGAGTCTGGACACGGGACAGAACCAGGTCAGGGGCAGGCTTGTTCTGAGCAGACAGGCTTTGTCCAGAACCAGCGCACTTGCTCTGGAACTGCCTGCCAGCAGTGTTCCAGTGGAGGGGACTCTCGCAGGCTGGACTCCGACCCCAGCACCTCCTGGCCTGGGAGGACTCTGGTGACCTTTCCCAGGTCACAGTCACCCCTCCAGGAGCCAGCATCCTGACTGGGGAGGCCCAAAGGGGAGCCAGGACACCTTCAAGCCTGTCTTTCACGTCCACACACTCAGGCCTGTGCGCAGCCCACTCAGGTCTGGCTGTAGGCGGTCAGCAGGCACCGACAGCACCTCTGGCCTCTCCACCAGCTGCCCATGGGGTGCTGTCCACTCTGTCCACTCCTTCCATCCTGCAGGGTCCTCCTCCTCACAGCCTCCCTCAGCCCAGCCCCTTCCCCGGGGGTCTCCTCCAAGCCCTCCCCCTTGCCCGCCCTCCTCACCTCCCTTCAGATTCTCCACAGTCCTCACACCGCCGCACGGGACTGGCCTTGACTCACGTCGCCCTGCTGCCGCTTCCTCCCCACGCGCCCAGGCGCTGAGGCCAGCCGCTGTGGCCAGCCGCAGCTTACCCTGGACCACAGCATATGCCTGAAGCCTGCCAAGCTCTGAAACCTGCACACCAGGCCAACCCAGGCCGGTTAAACCAGCCTCCTGAAGGTGGCCTCTAATCTCCCGGCCTCCCCGGCCCCATCCCAATTTCCCTCTGCTTTTCCCCCGAGGGAAGGCGCTGGACACTTGCCTGCCTTGGGCTCTTCCCAGGGACCCTCCTGGGCACAGCAGGCTGAGGACTCAGAAGGATGTCCGCCGGCGCCTGCACCCTGTGGCCGCCTCCACCAGCCCGGCCCAGTCTGGGAGCTCCAAGTTGCCTTTGTGCCTTCTGCTCCTGGGCTGCGCTGCGCCTGAGTTGGGGCTGTCATTCCTTCAGCCTGGAGCTTGTGTCCTTGTTTAAAGACACTTTCTGGTAGATGATTAGCTTGATGGCATCCTCTGCACTTCCTGGAACTCATATTAATTACAGCTTAGACCTCCCGGACCGATGGCCTAATCTGATGTTTTCCCTACCGCTTTTCATTTTGTTGTTTCTACTTCATGAGAAATTTAACTTCAATCGAATGTTTCGTTTTTGCTATCTTCTTTTATTTTTTAATTTACAAGAGCCTTTCTTACACTTTGTTCCTTTTTTTTTTTCTTTTTTTTGGTTTTTTTCTCCGGTACCGGGAACCGAACTCACGACCTTGCGCTTGCCAGGCAGGCGCTTTTGCTGCTGAGCTAAATCCCCAGCCCCCCACTTTGTTCTTTTTTAACAGCATCCCGTTCTTAGGCTGTGGATGTGATACCTTCTCTCTCCAAGGGCCCTAGGGACAGGGTTCTTACGTATGTACACACATACATGTATATATGGATCGCGCCTCAGGTCTCTGTTTCCTCTCCGCCCTGTTGCAGCAGATGTAGGATCCATCCCTGGGATGTTTCTTCCTCAGAAATCGGGTGACCCTGCGCCCCACACATCTTCCTGAGAGGCCCAGCGTGCAGATATGAAGCGGTGGGGGGGTGGCCTGAGTATGTGGCTGGCTGCAGCGTCACATGTGACTCCATGTGACAGTGGGTGCAGGCAAGGGGCCAAACCAACCCCACCCGGAAGACAGGAGGTACACCTGGCTGCCAGGCTCAGAGACGTGAGCAGGACAGGCGCTCCAGTCCCTCCTCAGACTCAGCACGAGAGTCTCCCGGCGAGGGCCAGGTCAAACTCTTCTCTTCTGGGCTCTACCTGCACCTGCTGACATTGGCCTTCTGCATCAGAGGCTCTCTGGGGTCCCTGGGCATCGAGAGATCAGTGTTCCCCAGTCTCACCACTCAGTGGCACCCAGCTGTCTGTCTTCCAGCCAAGCAGGAGAGGAGCTGCCCGCAGGTATGTCAGCAGTGTCCCTCGGCCACAGGATGCCACGTGCAGTGAGAAGCCAGACCTTCCCGTGGGACCTGTGGTAAGAGCCTTGCTGTGCTATTGGCGTCGCAGTGCTGGCCACCATGTGGTAAAGTAGCAGCTGAGGGGAGAAGCTCTGGCAGCACTGAGACATGCCATCTGCACGTCACCTGCAAAACAAAAAGAAGAAAACCCAAGCCGGGCGTGGTGCTGCACGCCTGTGACCCAGCACTCAGGAGGCCGAGGCAGGAGGATCACTGCGAGTTCGACACCAGCCTGGGCTACAAAGTGAGCTCAAGGCCAGCCTGAACTGCACAGTGAGACCCTGTCTCAAAAAGACAAAAAAGAAAAAAGAAGAAAACCCAGGCATATGTAGCCCACAGGCAGAAACTTGGGGGTAGGGAGGTGCCCAACACAGCGCCTGGCACACAGCAGGCATGCAGTAGATACCTGAATGAACAGAGGCATAAATGCATGACAAGAGTGAATGGCTGTGTGGGCGAATGGATGGGCGAATGAGTGAATGGACAGATGGATAGAGTGGATGCCGGGATCTGTGGCTCGGTGGGTGGATGAATGGGTGTACAGACAGATGGGCACGTGGGTGGGTAAATGACTGGACAGGTGGGCGGATGGGCACATGGGTGCTTGGATGGCAGGTGGATAGACATCAGTTCAACCTTACTTTCCTGGGAGAGATTGTCTCCCCCATTCTAAAAATTGTCTATCTGGCCTCACATGATTTTCTTCTTTCTCTTTGTTGTTAAGGAATTCTTGTCTTTATTTTAGGTAGAATTTACAAATCATACTCTGTTGCTATTTAAATTCCTCATCTCTAAGCAGTTGGCTGGCAGGTAGCTCTCTGTCAGTGCAGTGGACCCGCTGCCCCAGGGCTCTGTGGGCCTGGCACGGCACAGCAAAGGGGATGCAGAGTTGTTGGCCTTCTGGACTATCCGGCAGGCCTGGTGCACACTGGCATGAACTGTCCCTGCCTCGACCTGTAGATCTCAGCGGCCCAGCTTAGAAGCCTTTAATGCTCTGCACCCTTGGCCATGTTTGTTTTGGCGCCTTGCAGTCCACTCCCCCACCCCAGCTGTCCCAGCCTCCCCCTCACTGCTCTGCTTCTCTCCAGCCACCCTGGCCTCGTCTCCGTTCTCTCACAGGGCCTCTCTGCATGCTGTTCCACATCATTGCTGGGAACCTCCATGGACTCATCAGCCCGAGGCTCAGGTCCTTCCCAGTCAGGCTCAGGCGCCCGGTACTCGCTCACTGCTTCTGTGTTCCTTCGCCTGACCCTCCTGAGTGACCCTCTGGCTCACCGCTCCTCCCCTCTCCGGACGGACTGGCTGTTCCATGAGGGCAGCTCCGTGGTTCCCTCGCCACGCTCTTCCTGGGTTAGACGGGGCCTGCACGGGCCCAGAGACAGCAGGAACGTGAAGGACTGGGCCTGCCGCTGTCGGGCTGACTGCCGGGACTCAGGGTCAGGTGAGTTTCTAGCCCCTATCTGGCTCCCAGGGGGACAATGCCCAAGCTCAGGCATGGAACTGACCAGTACTCCAGAGAGCGCTGTCTTGCAGAGCAGCACCTGAGGGGCACCGAGTTGTCATCAGCTGCTGCGCACCTACCCTGCTATGTGCAGACCAGTGAGGGCCAGCCTCCCCCGTGGGAGGCCATCGAAGTTGGGAAGGCTCCAGAGTCCTGTTGGGGGAAGATCGGGAACACTGACAGGCTTTCCTGGAGATGCCAGAGCATACTGCTTCTTCCCCATCCCTGTGGCCGAACCATGCTGCCAGAGAGAGGCTCAGGAGTGAGAGGTGAGAGTCTCTGGTGGGAAAGGAATGGCAAGGGAAGGAGCAGCTGGCTGCACACAACAGGGCTTCAGTCCAACTGCTGGTCTTCAGCTGTGCAACCTGGCAAATCACCTTTCTTCTCTGAGCCCATCTGCGCAAAGAGAGGGAGCTGCCAGATGCAGCAGGCTGAGGCAGGAGGATTTCAAATTTTAGACCAGTCTGAGCAACTTAGCAAGACTTTGTCTCAAAATAAAACCTAAGAAGGGCTGGGATGTAGTTCAGTAGTAGACCACATGCCTAGCTTCTGTGTTTAATCCCTGCACCGAAAGAGGAAGAGGTAGAGGGACAGGGAGAGAAATAAGACTATATTTGCAGATGACATGATCTATGTGACATGATCTCACACATTAAAAATCCTAAGGAAGTCACTGAAAAACTGTTGGAATTAATAAGGAAGTTTAGCAAGTTTGTAAGATACAAGATCAATATACAAAAATCAGTTTTCCTTCTATACAGTTACAATGAACAAATCAAAGATGAAATTTAGAGCCAGGCGTGGTGGCATACACCTGTAATTCCAGCACTCAGGAGGCTGAGGCAGGAGGATCGTTGTGAGTTCGAGGCCAGCCTGGGCTACAAAGTGAGCTCAAGGCCAGCCTAAACTGCATAGAGAGACCCTGTCTCCAAAAAAAAAAAAAAAAAGAAAAAGGAAAAAAAAAAGGAAAGATGAAATTTAGAAAATTTCATAAAATACTTAGAGGCAAATTTTTATTTTTTTATTTTTTGAGATAGGGTTTCACTATGTAGTTCAGGCTGGCCTTGGACTTACTATGTAACACAGACTGGCCTCGAACTCATGGTGATTCTCTTGCCTCAGCCTCCCAAGTGCTTGGATTACAGGTGGGCACCACTACATTTGGCAAGGAAAATTTTTAAAAGAGATGCAAAACATATATTCTTACAGTGCCAATGTATTAGCCAGGTGTGGTGGTGCACGCCTGTATCAGTTACTTCTCTCATTGTGGAGACAAAATACCCAACACCCGAAGTGAAAGGAGGAAAGATTTACCGTGGCTCACAGTTTGTAGAAGTTTTAGTCCACAGTTGGCTGGCTCCAAGGCAGGGTGGCATGGCAGGTGTGCATGGCAGAGGAGAAACAGTCCCTGGCAGGCAGAAGGCAGCAAAGCAGTGAGTAGCGGCAGCAGCCACGCCTGCCTTTATATTTCATCCAGGCTACCTGCCTTGGGGGTGCCACTGGCACCCAGGGTGGGGCAGCTTAATCCCAGCATCACACACTTTAGATCCAGCCACCTCCAAAAAGCCTTACTTATGACCACATCAGGCTTGGGCGGGGGGAGACACCTACATATAAGCGATAATAATGTCTATAATCCAGCACTCCTGAAGGCTGTAAATTCAATGCAGTCTGGGTAATTTAGCAAGACCCCGCCTTGAAATAAAAATAAATAAATAAAAATGGGCTAGGTTTGTAGATCTGAGAGAAGGCTCTGGCTCAATCCTCAGTAAAATACACACACACAAATATATTATTGAAAGAAATTAAGGAAGACCTACATAAATAGGAAGGTATCCCATGTTCATGGACTGGAAGCTTGATTATTGCTAAGATGGCATTACTCACCACATGTATTTTCATTTGTATTTTCCTGATGCCACTGGTGTATCAGATCCAACCCAGTCACTGTCAAGCTCCCCACTGACTTCTTTGCAAGAACTGACAAACTGATCCTTACATTTATATGTCAGAGCAAGGACCTCATAATAGCCAAAGCAATTTTAAAAACGAAAAACGAAGTTGTGCACTTATTTTTCCTGGTATCAAAACTTACTATAAAGTTACAATAATAAAGAACAGTGTGGTGCTGGGATAAGAAT